TCTTTCTGCCATCTCCAATCAGCTATTAGGTTTATTCAGGGACATTTCCATTTTAGTTATTGTACTTTTCAACTCCAGAATTTCTACTTGTGTTTGTTTGTTTGTTTGTTTGTTTTTTTTATAGTTGGTCTTTCTCCATGGAGATTCCTGTATGTTCCTTTATTGTGCATATAACTTCCTTCAAGTTCTTGGCCATATTTTTAGTAGCTGCTTTGTCTGTATCACCTGGATTCTCTTGGTTTGGCTATCGACTCTTCCCCTTTTTTCTTGGGTACGGGTCACAATTTCCTATTTCTTCTCATAGCTCATGATCTTTATTGGGTCCTGGACATCATGAATGCTATGTTGTAGAATTTCTGGATCCTGCTGTGTTCCCCTTGCTAGTGTTTAACTTGGCTGGACTTGAACCCTGCCCCTCATGCAAATATATCTTTTTCAGCAGCTGAACTCTCCTCTTAGTTTGTCCATCTTTGAGCTGCTGGTTTTTCTCCAAAACCCCTGGTGTCTTTCCCACACAAGTGTGGCTTAGTCAGCTCATCAAAGATTTGGGTGGACTCCAGGCAGATCTGGGGGCTCGCCCCCTCTGTGGCTCTCTATCTTCCAGGATTCCCCCTAACATACTGAACTCTCTTCTCTGACACTTCAAGACTACCAGACTGCTGCTTTCTGCCACCCAAACATTCATGGAGCATGCCCCTGGCAAAACTCCAGAATCATCATTCTGACTGGCAGAAATCTTTCAAGGGTGGGCTCGCTGGCAGTGTCTGCCTGCTTTGGTCGCCCCCCAGTGTCTTTAAATAGGTGTGTGCCCTTGAATAATGGACCTGAATTTTTTTTTTTTTAATTCAGGAAACTGGATCAGCTTCTATGCAATGTACCACCTCTTAGATGGGTAAGGGAGGATTTCATGCCCTCTGCAGACAGGCATATTGTGTGTCAATGTATTGGGGCAGCCAGGCTGACCTACATGGTGTCTGTGAGTCTGTCTGTCTGATACTAACATGAAGGGATGTGTCCACAGAGAGCAGAATGGTCAGTCGCCAAAGGTGATTACATTTCCCAGAATAGTCCTATTTATCCTTAAAGTAACCAGGTAGATTGTAGGGGCGCCTGGGTGGCTCAGTCAGTTGAATGTCTGACTTTGGCTCAGGTCACGATCTCACGGTTCGTGGGTTTGAGCCCCGCTTCGGGCTCTGTGCTGACAGCTCAGAGCCTGGAGTCTGTTTCAGATTCTGTGTCTGCCTCTCTCTCTGCCCCTCCCTGACTCATGCTCTGCCTCTCTGTTTCTCTCAAAAAATGAAGAAACATTAAAAAAAAAATTTTTAATAAAATAAAATAACCAGGTAGACTGTAAATGTTCTGAAGCTTTATGTGGATGCTCACTATATGTAATTTCTTACAATTCAGTATGGGCTGTAATCCTAAAGAGGCACTAAGGTATTTATTTAGTTGGTAAATATCAGCTGCCTGGGTTGTGCGTGGCACCGCGTATTACACAGAAGCCATCTCGTAGGATGCTTTTGTCCCAACTGTACGGGACTGTCCCAACTGTCCCAACTTGTCCCAACTGTGCTCTTCATCGTACGGATCCCTGCATGAGTTTCCTGGGGTTGCCATGCTAAGTACCATAGACCAGGTGGCTTGAAACACGTGAAATTTACTCTCGCAGTTTGGAGACCAGAAGGTGTCGGTGGACTGCGCTCCCTCCAGACAAGGACGCTTCCTGCCTCCTCTGGTTTCTGGGGGCCCCAGCCATCCTTGGCTTCCTAGGCTTGTCGCTGTATCCATTTGTCTCCTTCTCTGTCGTCACACAGCCTTCCTCCCTGTGTGTCCTATCCTGTCTGTTGTAAGAACACTGTCCCTGGATTTAGGGTCCGTCCTAATCCAGTATGACCTCATCTTGATCCTTTACCTTGATTATATCTGCAAAGACACTCTTTCCAAATAAGGTCACATTCAGAGATCCTGAGTGGACATGAGTTTTGGGGATCACTATTCAATGCAGTACAACTTCCCAAAGTGATCTGCCCCTTGTGCCCAAACTCCTGTCTTTTTTTTTTTAATGTTTATTTATTTTTGAGAGACACAGAGAGACAGCATGACCTAGGGAGGGGCAGAGAGCAAGGGAGACACAGAATCTGAAGCAGGCTCCAGGCCCTGAGTTGTCAGCACAGAGCCCGACACGGGGCTCGAACCCACAAACAGCAAGATGATGACCTGAGCTGAAGTCGGATGCTTAACCAGCTGAGCCACCCAGGCACCTGTCCTGTCTTAAGTTTTAAGGGCTGTGCCTGGCTTCTGAGATTCCGGGAGTTGGTGATTTTATTTGTAACCTTATAAACTTCAGGAGCACCGTTGTCATTTCAGGCCAGATGATATTTCCATTCGTCTTTAAATGCTGGCAGCTTCATCCTCCTGACAATTTGGATCATCCCCTATGGCCCCCCCAGTTCTCTCATGCTGGTGAGATGTGGCCACAGGACCTTTGCAGTGGTTCCAGGGCCTGGGACCTCAAGACTTTGACCCCAGACAGTGTAATTTTTCGACCCACCTTCCAAAACCACATCCCTTCATCAAACCTAAATTATATGAGCCAAGGACCAACAACTATAGTCCATAGGACATTTTGTAATGGACTTTTTTTTTTTTTTTTTTTTTTTTAAGAAATGAAGTCTTATTAGTGCTCAACCAGAATCACTCGTGCGTGTTAGCAATGGCCGCTCCTGTGCCAGCACAGCAAAGTGTAGTAGTTGCAAGAAAAGCCTCTCGTCCTTTGTGGAAAATATTTTGTGACCCTGGGCCTACACGCCATACGCTGAGCAGGGTGACAGACAGCACATGGTAAATAGTGCAGTAAACCAGGAAGCACGTCAGTGTGAAAACTTGGCGTGGTGTCGGATGATTTGCACTCTGGAAGTCGCATTCTGGCCGCGGTGAGCCGAGCGTGGGCTCGCTGTCTACCTCACACTCTCACGGGTTCCCCGGGTTTTCATAAGACTTAGACTGTGGAGCACAGTTATTTCCTGCCCGTGAGCAAGGAGCCGGCCTCTGACTCAGCTCGCTGGCTTCATCACTAGTGGATTCTTTCCACCAAGAGCCCAGGTCCAATGCTTTCCTGCTCCTACCACTGGAGTTACCCACTTCCTGGCTTCAGATTGGAACAAAGGGGCGCATGGTGTGCAGATGACTGACTCGGATGTTGGAGGAACTGTGCATAAGACCTCGACTGCGCAACTTCCTGCAGAATAATTCCGAAGGTCAGTTCTGTCAGGAAGGCAGAGAGTTGGAGACCCAGGAAATACACATTGGAAATTCTCACGTCTCCTCCTCTTGTGGAAGAGGAAAAGAAAAGTAGGGGGTGCCACTCATCACATGGCTCTGGGGACATCTAGTGGTAAGGACCGAGTCAGGGAAACAGGAAAGCGCCACAGGCACAGGCCACAGATCCGTGGATCCAGCCAGCGGCTCTCGTGGTGCCAAAGTCTTTGGGAGGGGGATGGGCCACATCATAGACTATTCCTCATCAACAAAGATGGGGTCAAACCAACACTCAACAGATTTAAAACACTCACACGCTGCCTTCCGCTTTCTTTAGGCAAATTATATTCATCTGTTAGCAGTTTTTCTTTGCATTAAAAGAAAAAAAAAAGGAGTTTTCAACAAATTCTTCACTCGTCCTCAGAGGTGGGAGCCCTTGCGGTGATAGAAGCGTATGGAAAGTTCTGGCAGGTGCCTCCTGAGCAGCATGCTGTGTACCTGCTGCTCAGGCCCCGCATGAGGCAGAAGTGGGGAGACCCCACCTGTGGCTTGGGGGGACGTGCTCAGGACAGGGCTGTACCTGCCCACAAAGCCACCTCCTCTCTGCAGTTTGCATATTTAACAGCTTCTCAAGTGCCGAAGGTAGCCGGTTCTTACAAAGTGCAGACCGTCTGACCTTGAGCATGTTGATGGAATGATTTTTTGTACCATCTGCCACTTTGTTCTGGTATTAAATGAGTCTTTTTGTATGGAATTAAAAAAAAATTTTTTTTAACGTTTTATTTATTTTTTTTTCAACGTTTTTATTTATTTATGGGACAGACAGAGACAGAGCATGAACGGGGGAGGGGCAGAGAGAGAACGTTTTATTTATTTTTGAGAGAGAGACAGAGACAGAGTACGAGCAGGGGAGGGGCGGAGAGAGGAGACAGAATCCAAACAGGGCTCCAGGCTCTGAGCTGTCAGCACAGAGCCTGACACGGGGCTCAAACTCACAAACCGCGAGATCATGACCTGAGCCGAAGTCAGACGCTTAACCGACTGAGCCACCCAGGCCCCCTCTGTATGGAATGTTTAAACTACCTACTTGAAAGATGTACGCATCTGGCTGCAAAGAAATACACTTTTATGCCCTTCTCGTGGGCGAGGATCTCCAGGAACAGAAAGCAGGACTTCTAGCCAGCCCAAGAGAAAATGCTTCTTTCCTCCCACTGTGTATCTCCTATCTTGGACAACGTCTGAAGATATTTTGGGTTGTCATGACTGGTGGGGGGTGGGAAGGGGAGAGGCGCTCCTGGCATCTAACGAGTGGAGGTCAGGGATGCCGAGGTCGGCCTGAAGGACAATCCGGCCCCGGTGTCCCCAGTGCTGAGGGGCAGAAACCCCGCCTTAGGAGAATGCACTTGTAGTTTGGGGTACCGTAGCCCGCCAGATGGCAAGCATCCATCAGGAGCTTGTGATTCACTGGATGGATGAGTAAACAATTGTAGGAGCCCTGGAAAGGACTGTCTGCAGAGCTAACTTTTGGTTTTATATTGGGAAAAACGTTTCCTGCCACCCCTCCCCACCCCCGCTGCTCTTCCTATGAGGCATTTGTGCCACTGGGTTCCCTTTCTTCCTTCCCCAGTAAGGCCAGCCGACTTGCACGTGAAGTTTGAAGACCATAGGTAGTCACCACTTGGGCCTCCGTGGCTGCAGTCCCGCCCCACTCAACCTCTCTCCGCCTTTCTTTAGAACTGAGCATGCAGAATTCAGAGGGTGGATCCGATTCGCCGGCTTCTGTGGCTCTGTGTCCGTCGGCAGCAGCCCAGGCCCCCGTGGCTCAGCCTGTGCCAGCCTCCCCGCAGGTAACAGACCAGCCTGCCCGCTGCTCGGGGCTCAGGCTGTTCCGAGAAAGCCAGTGTGGCCTGGGGTGTGGGGGGGGGCGGAAACGCCCCCACTTAGGTTTGGGAAAACACTTGAGGCAGCAGAGAAAGGAATCTATATTTTCCTGAACTGACATTACGGTCCCAACGCTGCTCCTGTCGAAATAGCAACCCCTCTGTTCTGTTCCCCCTGCCCCTCCATGTCACACTGGCTTTTTCGCTATTTGTTGCAAAGGCCCCACCAAGGACCCAACGCTACAAACTCAAAAAAGAAACTTGGCTTGGTATATTCCTATCTTTTAATGGACATTTTCTTATGCCTTGGAAGTACCCCTATTACACGGGGAAACCTTATGGATAAGGCAAAAGATCGGTTAAAATTCTACCATCCAAACGGATACGTTCTTTACAATTTGCGAGGAGAGAACTTCCACGTTAAGGCTCTTGCCTTCTGGATTTCTACCACGGCTGGAAACACACCATAGACTTAAACATAAAGTTAGCGATGTAGGACCACACCAAGCTGAAGGCCACGGAACAGACTGGAAACCTGGAGACATGCACGGAGGCCCCCTGTGGCCATGTGACCACCTACGAGTACGAATCCAAAAGTCAGAAGCATGACAGAATTGACAAAGGTAGAAAAGCCCCATAATTCAGCCAAAACCAAAGGGCAGACGTGTGAAAGCGGCTTGTTCATTTCAGAACAGATAATCAGACGTGTTTAAGCTTTCATTTCTTGCAAACACGCAGCCCCGGTGTGGGCCTTGGAAGCCTGTCTCAGGGCACCAAGGGGATGTGATCAGATTGAGTTGTAGCTAATTGACTTGTTTCCCTGCCCACTTGAACCTGACACGCCGGCCTTCCACCCCCGGCCGCCTTGGCTCCTTCTCGCCACACCGCAGTCTCAGGCCTGAGTGGCCCAGCCTTTCTCGGTAGCAGCCACAGGCTGGCTGGGGCCCAGGCCCTGCCTCCAGGGTCCTGCCATGGCCACCGCGTGCCTCCCAAGTTCCAAGGCTTCATCCCTGCCAGCAATGCATCCGGTCCCCGCAGCCACCCACGCGCCGTCCCTGGCCTCACCTCCCCCCGCCCCCGGGGTGCATTGTCTGCTCCCCGTGCAGACTCCCTGCCGCTGACATGGGGTGCTCTCTTTCTGGAAAGTTCCAAGCGCTCCTGCTGGTGGGCTTCCCTGCCTCCCCGCAACAGTGGGTGCCTCTCTCCTTGCCAGAGAGAAGAGCTCCTGCTGCCTCAGTTCCCCCAACGGGCTCTTCACGCTTCGCCTTCCAGCTTGCCCCGTCCAGCATAGCTTCCCACCGCGCTGGACACGTGCAGCCACCAGCCCCAGCTTGGTGCCAGGGATGGGAAACGTGGTGTGGACAGCTGTCTGCAGGGTTCTTCTTATCACCCAGCCTCTCAGCCTGATGTCAGGGACAGCCCAGGCCACCTCGCAGACAGACCTGAGGGAGGGAGAGCTGCTGGGGGCAGGTGGAGGCGCATGTGCTCCTGCGTGAGAATGAGAGTATGTATGTGTGTGTGTGTGTGCGTGCGTGCGCGCACGCGCGCGCGCACTCCTCTCCTGCCAATCTCGCTATGTTTCTGGAAGGTGATGGTGGAGTAGATGGCGGTAGCCCTGGTTATAACCTGTATTTGCTTTAAGGACTAACCTCTGACAAGTCTAAATGTCCTTTTCTCCTTCCATTTTAGAGGGTGTTGGTCCAGACAGCGGGCTCGGCTCCCAAAGGGGCCCAGATGCAGCCAATCTCCCTCCCCAGGGTCCAGCAGGTGCCACAGCAGGTAACCATAGCCCAGGTGAAATGGGACACATCAGCACTGAGTGATCCGGTGCCCTCTCTGGACAATGCACCCTTTTCTGTTGTTGCTATTGCTTTGTCTTTGATATCTTCAGCTCTGTACCAGAAGGTTCTTTTGAAGGCTATGTTTAAAAAAATTTTTTAATGTTTATTGATTTTTGAGAGAGAGACAGACAGAGTGCGAGCAAGGGAGGAGAGGCAGAGAGAGGGAGTCACAGAATCCGAAGCAGGCTCCAGGCTCTGAGCTGTCAGCACGGAGCCTGACGCGGGGCTCGAACCCACAGACTGTGGACTGTGAGATCATGACCTGAGCCGAAGTTGGATGCTTAACCGACTGAGCCACCCCTTGAAAGCTATGCCCCTTGAAAGGCTCAGCCTTTCTCAAGGCTCAGCCCCTTGAAAGCTATGTTTAAAAAAATTCTTTTACTGCAGATAGTTTGCAACAAGCCAAGAAAGCTGATGATCTTTCATTCATTCAGAGATTCAGCATTTGGGGGGCAACCCAGCAGCCCGACGGAGCACTGGGGTGCTAAGGTAGACACGCAGACAGAGAGCCAAGTTTCAGGTTTGGAGGAACATGGAACCTCTTGGGGAGGCAATTGTCGTGCCCTCAGACGAGTGCATGACCCAGGAAGCACTTCCTGTGACATGAGGTTATCTGGCAACCGAGCTTCAGGGCCTGGGTGCACCAGCCACACAGAGTCGGCATGATCCGGGACAGCGGAGGGCAGAACTTTTCCAGAAAAAGCCAAATAGTGTATTTTTTGGCTTAGCAGGCCAGCTGCTGGACTCTGCCACTGTCCCACAAAAGCAGCTGTAGATGTACCCGAAGGGGCGTGGCCGTGTCCCAGGGAAACTTAATGTACAAAAAGAGACGGGCCAGATTTGGCTGGAGTTGGCGGACTTGTGCCCTGTCACATACGGAATTAAAATTAGTGCACGCTCCTGCCTGAAAGGACCACTGAGCATGATTGTGGTGACAGCTGAGACCAGAGAGCACACCTCTCTCCCCCGGCAGCTCCGGCTTAAATCTAAGCTGGTGAGTTTAGAGGCGCTTGTCCAGTAACTGCGTCAGCGAAAACGGGAGCAGGTTTTCGGGTCGTGGGAGAGAAGCGAAGGCTTCGGCAGGCCCGGCAGGGAGCCAGTGGCTCTGTCTCAGCTCCTTGGGGGACAGGAGAACAAGACCAGTGTCGTGATTCTAGAAGCTTCCTCTCTGTGGGGCCTTTGTCCCTGAGCAACTTGGACTGGCAGAGTGACTTCTGTGTTTCACCCAGTCCCCTAAGGCACAGCCCGCCCAGCATGTTAATCCCTAGAAGCTTCTCACGATCCATCGATTGTTAATTCCAGCACCACGCTGGCCTGGCCTGGCCTGGCCTGGTCTGGCCTGGGAGGTGGGAGTCAGTCCCATCCTGCCAACCCCACACGAAGGCTTAAGCGGTCACGATGACACCCAGCCCCAGATTTTTTCACCCCAAAAGGAAGCTGGATTAGGCATCCATTAAGGTTCCCTCCGTGGTGAGGTTTTCAAGGTCTGTGCACAGAGCTCTAGGTCTCCACCACCAGGGCCAGTGTCCCTGTCCGCGGAGGTGTGCCACGGCCACTGCCACAGACGAGGCTTCCCGGTGCCCCCGCTCCATCTCCCACTCCAGGCATGTTTCTCCTTCCAAGGACCCCGGCCCCTCTGGGGAGGGGTGCCAGGGCCGCCCGGCCATGTAGAGTATAACCGGCTTGCGCCCCCTGCCCTGTAGGGCGAGGGGTGTCTGACGCCCCAGATCGGAAACAGAGGAGTCAATGTCCACAAAAGGCCATGGAAGACACAGGCAGGCTGAACAGCAAGGGGACTGGTGTGTGTGACACGAGGTATCTGATGTTCATGTTCCAGGTCCAGCCCGTGCAGCACGTGTACCCCCCGCAGGTGCAGTACGTGGAAGGCGGAGACACGGTCTACACCAATGGAGCCTTGTACGTGGGTTTCCTCTCCCCTCGGAAGGGCCTGCCTGTCAGAGAAGCGTGGGCCACGTCCGGAACCTTCTCTCACGACTACCCCACCTTTTTCCATTTGGGGCCTGTACTCGCAAACTTCTCCTCCTCCCCCTTTGGGTGGTGTGGGAACCATTAGGACAGTCTGAGGGCATCAGAGCCCTGTGGAGATTTCAGAAATCACAGGCCTTTGTAGTTTTTACTGCCAGAAAAGGCAGTCTTTCAACAAAATGAAACGAAACGAAAACCTAATCCAGCTTTTAAGTCTGAAGGTTCAGTCTTCACAACCCAGAGACCATTTTTATCTCTGCCTTCTCATCCTTGCCTGTGTTCACCTCTGGCTCTTTATGAGGTTGCTAAAACTTGATTTTCCATTTGTCAAGGACTTCTAGAATGTTCTGCCTTCCAACTATGTGGCGCTCGGGGCAGAAAATGATACATTTCCCATGAAGCTCATTGCGCTTAAGACACGAGTCCCTTTGCCCATTTGCTTTCCATCACCCCCTTTCGGAAGTTGAGGGGTGGGCATGAAGGCTGGCGGCCGTGACGGCTGGAGCTGTGTGAGCTTCTGCAGCACAGCGCCGAAGCTTCCGAAATATGCACAGACCCTTGTCAGGACGTGAACAGGGCGTGAACAGCCCATGAAAGCTGAGCGAGGTCCGCAGGTCACCCCGTGCCCCTGGGCTCGATCCTGCGCTGCAGTTAGATAAGCTGTCGCCCTGGGGTGGGGTCGGGACAGGAAGGAGAGCACACTTCTGGGAGGCGGTCACAGGGGCCTCACGGCCACGCGGAAGGGCCAGCTCACGACACATCGCTACGCTTTAGTCTTTTACTGGGGTCAGCTCGACAGGAGCGAGCGGAACTTAAAACTTTGAGTCTCAAGCCGCATGGTTAATCATTTAATCCAGATGGTAAAGGAACATCAGGCAAATTCTTGGTATCGCTTAGAAGTTCTTTTAAGTATGCAATTTCATTTTGCAAACCTTTTCGTTCTGAAAGAATCATAGACTCTAAAGAAGTTGCAGAATTAGCACACAGCCTCCCCCAGGGGGGGCATCTTCCGTGACCGCAGCAGATACCAGGAAATTGGCTTGGGGATACACCGCCAGCTAGCCTGCGGGCCTCACTCCCGTCTATCGTCCTACACGCGTGCACGCTCTGCGCCATTTTACCCCACGAGTAGATTTCGTGTAACCATAATAAGACACAGAATTGTTCCATCGGTTTCGATGGGTCATCCCGCGATCCTTAATATTTTCAGAAACGATCGCTTTGAACTTTGCACTGCCCTGACCCCTCGTGTCTGAGTGACCCCGTAGGCGCGGTCTCCTGGGGCTCCGCCTTAACGTGGAGTCCTCCCGGACCCCGGTGAGACTCAGGAGGCACCTCCTCTCTTCCTGACAGACGGACGGCCTACGCCTACAACCCCGAGCCTCAGATGTACGCCCCGAGCAGCACAGCGTCTTACTTCGAGGCCCCGGGCGGCGCCCAGGTGACCGTGGCAGGCTCCTCCCCGCCGGCGGTCCCCTCCCACAGCATGGTGGGCATCACCATGGATGTCGGGGGGAGCCCTATTGTCTCCAGCGCGGGAGCCTATCTCATCCACGGGGGGATGGACGGCACGAGACACTCCCTGGCCCACACTTCCCGGTCATCGCCGGCTACGGTACGTACGAGGCTCTCCGGGGCAGCGGGGTAGACCCAGAATAGACTCCCCTCGGCAGCGGGGATGGTGAGTGAAAGGCAGCCTGGGGCACCGGAGCCAGAGCTCTGCGGCCAGGAAGGGCGCGTGGTCGGAGGCAAGCGTCCACCCCTGGGAACCAGGTACCCCGTGGTAAACAGAGAGGGTAAAAGGCCCCTCCCGGGCTGCTGTGGAAATTGCAGCCGGGGCCAGCGTCGCCGTGCTGGTGGGACCGCCACCCTTGGCGTCGCCCTCCCAGAGGCCCAGGCCCGTCTATCCCCGTGACCGCTGGACCGACCTCGGCAGGGAGCAGTCTCCCTCGGGAACTGCACCCCCTTGTTGCCGCCAGGGTCCTGCCCCAGACTCTGCCCCTGACCTGCTTTAGAAACATGTCTGCTCTCAGAGCCTAGTTTCCACGCTTACTTTTATTTTAGTTCATTTGGAAAATTAACACAGAGTAAAACTGACCCTTCTTGGCACTCACAGTGGTGCCTTTGAGACCCACTCACGTTATCACACGAATCCGTACTTGCTGCTTCTTTGCTACTGGGAAGGATTCCATTATACCGCAGCTCACCTATCCATTCACCCTTTGAGGGTCATTTGGGCAATTTCCAGTTTTTTGGTGATTATGAATAAAGCTTCTGTAAGTCCTCACGTACAGGTTCTTGTACGGACATACGTTTTCCTTTCTTCTGGGTAAATACTTACAAGCAAGATTGCTGGTTCACGTGGTAAGTGTCTGTTGAATGTGATCAGAAACCACCAACAGTTTTCCCAAGTGGCTGTACCATTTTGCGTCCCCCCCACCCCACCCCCGGCGTATGAGTCCCCATGCTCCACTTCGTCACCAGCACTTGATGTTGTCAACCATTTTTCATTTTCGACGTTCTCATAAGGTGTGTAGTGATATCTCACTGTGGTTGTGATTTGCGTTTTCTTAATCGCTAATGATGGTGAGCAGCTTTCTATGCGATTGCTTGCCTTTCGTTATATGCTCTTTGGTGACCTATCAGTTCACGTCATTTGCCTATTTTTTAACTGGGTGGTTTGTTTTCATACTGTGGAGTGTTGAGAGTTTTTTATATATCCTGGATATGAGTCCCCTGTCAGAGATGTGATTTGCAAATATGTTCTCCCAGTCTTTAGAGTGTCTTTCCATTCCAGATTGGGTAGAGCGTTTCCTCTCACTTCACTATTATGTTGGCTGTTTACATAAATTTAGAATTTTCTATATAAGTTTTAGGTCAGTCTGTCTATATCTACAAAAAAATTCATAGTGAGATTTTGATTAAACAATATTAGACCTGTAGATCAATTTGGGGAGAACTGACATCTTTACTGTGTTGGGTCTTCCCATCCATGAACATAGTATGTTTTTTCCATTTATTTAGATCTTTGATGTCTTACGTCAGCATTTTGTAATTTGTGGCATATAAATTCTGTACATATTTTGTTAGATTTATGCCTAAATAGTTTATGTTTTTGGAGCTATTATAAATGGTATTGATTTTTAATTTCAGTTTCCAACTGCTCATTTTTGGCTGTTGGCCTCGCATCCTGCAGCCTCCCTGGACTCACTTATAAGAGCTGCAAGAGTTTTTTGTTGTCTGCGAGTGGGAACAGTTTTACTTCTCCCTTTCCAATCTGGATAACTTTTATTCCTTTTCCTTGTCTTTTTGCACTAGCTAGGACTTCCAGTACAGTGTTGAACAGGCGTGGCAAGAGTGGACATCCTTGCTTTCTCCCCAGTCTTAGGGGAAAATCTTCAGTCTTTCACCACTAAGTGTCATATTGGCTCTGGGTTTTCATAGATGCCCTTTTTCAGATTGAGGAAATTCCCCTCCATCCCTAGTTTTCTGCAAGTCCTTATCATCAATGAATATTACTTTTGTCAAATGCTTTTTCTTCGTTGATATGACCATGAGTGTTTCTTCTATAGACTGTTCCTGTGACAGATTACGTTGACCGATCATCAATTAGGAAGTAACTTCCTCTTTTGGTGTGGGGCTAACCTCCCAAAATAGAAGGTGATGTTCCTGCCTCATCCCTGTCCTTTTAGTCCTGATGTGCTTTGGGGTCACTGACATCAGAGAGCACTCCCTCCCGGGTTTTGCGGCCCTCTGTGTCCAGAGTGCTCTCCAGGACCCAGTTCTGTGGACAGGGTGGAGAAAAGTCACTTGTTCTCTAGAGGCAGTAGCATGTGGGGTGGGGTTGGTCCTGGCTCACCAGCTCGCACCTCGCCTCGCTCAGTCCCTTCCACCCGGCAGGGCCTGGGTGGCCACTTGCAACCACACGTTTACTCCCTCGGAGGACTGGCTGCAGGGATGGGAGTTTAGAGCGGATACTGATGAGAAACATTGCTCACAGACCACGTTAACTGTCACGAACCTGACAGGTTGGAAGTTAGTAAATTGCATCAGTACGTAATAGCAGCATATACTAGGGTCGCGGGTCACAGATTTACTGAGAAACTACAGCGTTCTCTATGGTCCACGCTATCCTGTTGCAAGCATATGTGCTGCCCAGGGCCTAGGCCACCCGGCCACTGTGGTTTGTCGTCCAGTCGCTTCAGAAGAATCGTGTTTTTAAACCAATTGGGAATCCAGGAATGGGCTGTGTTTTGACACCCCTCTCCATGCAAGCCCCGGAGAGTGATCGTTCCAGAAGACGATCTGGTTCCCGACCCTGCCTGCTCGCTTGATTATCGACCTGTTTTGGCACAGGAACATGTCACACGTTTGCAGCAGGGATCTGTGGGACTTTCCAGGAACCACAGAATTAACCCGAGGCTCCTGCCCCCGGCACTTGACGCCTGCCAGCTTTGCCCGTCAGAGTTTTGGGACTTCGAGTTGATTCCGAGAACAGAGGCGGAGGCTGGAGGGAATCACCCTGCGGCCTTGAGGAGAGGTTTCCGACTTCTGTGGTAGATTTTCTTGAGTCTCAGTTATTTCATCGGTATCTTGTAAAACTGAAAAGTGAGTTGCCCGAATGGTGCGTTTTCGATAAAGCCGCTTAGCGCTGCACTTTCTTCAACCACACCCGACAGAGGTTCTCCCCCAAGAGGCCTGCCCCTGCCACTCCAGCCCAGGATTGGCCCTTTGGGTCGTGTCGGGGTGGGGGGAGCCGGGGGCCCTCGGGCCGCCCGGGGTGGAGACCCTGCCGCTCCCTCCGCCCGCAGGGCTCTCGGGCTGCAGGCAGTCATGCCGCGCAGTCAGGCGGCCCCCGTGGGCCACACCGTGGGGACCGAGGAAGGGAAACGGTCCGGCCAGTTTTCACAGTAATAACACAGCACTCCTGTCCGTGCGGGAACCTGCCATCGCGGTGTTTCATTGGGGCCTAGGTCCGGCCTACTGAAGGGTAAGCCGCCGGTGGCCAAGTCCCACTTGACCCCTCTGGGTGGTGTCTTCGTGAACTCTTAGCTTCCAGGAAAGCAGGGTCCTGGCTCACAGGTAGCGGCGGAGATCGTCAGATCGGGATGGTGTCTGCCCGGGCCACGCGGCTGGCCTTCCAGCACGTGCCGCGCCGAAGCCAGAAGGGTGAGAAGTGACGTCGCCTCTGAGAACAGTGTCAGGCGGGCTCTGAGCTTGCTCTGGTCGCGTTCCGGCCCCGGAAAGAACTGGCATCAGCTTTGTGGCGCCTGCTGTGATTTTCAAATGTGCCTAAGACTTGAGATCTGCCTAAGACTGCCATGATTGCTTCCTCCTCCAGAGGAAGAAAACCCTCGTGCGCTGGGTTTGAGAAGCCACTGGGGATCGGCAGCCCAGTCCCTTGGGACACTGAGTCGTCTTCAAAAACCCTGAGATCTCCTTTCCAACATGAGAAATGGCGATATTTAGGGCCCCGGACCGACGGCTCCAAGTTCCACAACGCACACCCCGGAGACACGTCACTTGAAATCATAGGAATTTCTCTACCGGTGTCATCAGAGACTCAGCTCCGGCTTTCAACACACAAGCGAGCCTCTCGGCCCCGAGCACCGGCACACGTGAGTTCAGAAAAGCCGAATCCCGTGTACTCCATCCAGCTCATCTGCGCTGGGTCAAGGCCAGGGGAGACCGTGAATGGAGCGTCCGTGGCTCCCGCTGTGTGGCCTGGCCTCCCAGTCTCACGGTGACCCTTCCAGGTGGCCCGCGGGGCCGGTGTGCCACCCACACAGGTCACAGCTCACGATGGATCATCAACCACGGAAACGTCTTCTCTATAGCCTGCCAGTGAAGATGCGGAACACCTTAACTGCACAGCGACCTCACACGCATCGCAAGCATTTCCTAGAAGCTGCCTCATCCTCTGCACATCAGAGCTTTTGCCCAACGGCCAGAGCAAACCCTTTGGGAGCAAGCGCACGTTGTTTGATGAAGGAATTTTGCCGATAGCGCATCCACTTTTTTCTCTGACTAAAAAAATATTTATCATCACTTTTTTTCTTTAATAGACTCCTTTTTTAAATAATTTT